TTATGGTGTTGCTGCAATGTTAAATCCTACAATGAAATTGGGAGGTCCTCATTTTTGGTATTCGAATATTTATAAGGCTTTAGATCTTTCAAATGAGGAAATTNACCGCCAGAGCCCAGGCCCACGAAGCCCGGCCCGTTTGGCCCACGAAGGCCCGGGCCCGGCCCAAAATACAACACTATCGCCGGAGCTTGATGGGGCTACTCCCATTTTCGAGTCAGATGTTTGGATGTGAACTTTACTCCGTGAGAAGCCAAATGGACGTATGAGAGGCGGATCCAGAATTTACTGTTTATGGGTTCTTAAAGCTACCTTAAGTAAATATACAATAAGTAACTGGGTTCACAATCAAATATTTGTGGATATTTAGTGGATTTTTTAATACATATACATGGAATATCAATGGCGAATTCACATGTTATTTTTGGATGCTCAAGCACCCGTTATCTTTGACAAGATTTAGTAAATTTGTATAGGTAATTACAAAAATATTTAGATAAATATTGAGCGAGCACTCATAACTAAACTCATTTTTCCTCTCCTTTCAAAATTTTTATCAGTGAGCACGCGCAACTTTAAAATCTTGAATCCGCTATTGCGGAATATGCAAAAGCTACTGGATTCATGGGAATAGGCTGGATCCGCCCCGGACGTATGACCTTGCATTGCCATTTGATCTCTTTTCTCGTGTGACCACTTGACCTCTATTGCTACCACGGTAGCACCTGGTGCGATGATCAACATCAATCAGGTTCAGACAATGAAGCTTGCATTCATTTTACAATGTATTAGAAGCACGTAAATTTTCAGAGCATGTTATGGTATGCTAAACTGTAGAATCTACTCCATTTTGTAAATACAAAATAAACAAGATAAAGTAAAGAAAATAAAAGAGTTATTAGAAGTAGAGGTAGCATACAAAGTGAGATTTCACACTTTCTGAATGCTGTATAATGACATTATAACAAACAAAACTGATTTATCGAATGAATAAACCATTAAACCTAAGTCTAATAATGTACATTGAGTACCGCCAGATCAAGCCATATATTATGAACAAATGTATCCAACACTAGAAAGCCTGCACATAAAAATTTCTGTAAATCAAACACACTTGGGCAGATAAACATTTTACATGTCTTATGCCCCGGCCACTCAGAAGTTCCAAAACTTCATAAAAGTGGTCAAACTAAAGAATAAAAAGAAGTAGAGGAAGAGAAAAAAAAGATTATAACAACATATCCTGGACCATTTCTCGAATAAGGTCACCAATAATCTGGCATTCCATATCTTTACCTAGAGCATTAACATCTTCATCCACCAATCCGGACCAAGGGGTGGACTTCAAGTCCCTGTCCACTATATTGTCCAGGGATTGAGATGTTCTATCCCATGGAGGGTAAACATAAACACCAACTATTTCCCACACGCGTTCAAGTAACTTCTTTCCCTGAGGAGGTCGTGGAATAGGACGAACAGCACTTTTCATGAACCGAGACATTGTGGAAGCCCCTCCAAGTACACTTGGAAGTGCTTCATTCAGTAAGTCACACAATAACTTGTGATTTATCCTCTGTAACTGATCTTCTGTATACCCTTCTTCATCCTTTGTTTTTTGTATGTATGATTTTTCTGCTTCTTCAAAAACTTGGTTGCTTATAGGCTTTCCAAGTGGATCCCATCTTGATATATATTTATCACGCGAACCATCATATAAACCAGAAGCAACAAGCAGGTCTCTAATGTATGCCTCGGCTTTGTCTTCAATCTCCAACATCTCCTCTTCAACTGGCTGCTCATCAATCATGGTGTCCTCAGAGTCATAAGTATCTAGTTGATTCAGTTGCCTCCTTAGCTCTGTCATGTTAAAAAAAACAGCAACTTCTTTAGAGTTCCATGCAGTTACAATTTCAAGATAGAGTAATAACAATTGGTAAAGCCAATTATAATGCAAGCAAGGAAGGCACTAAGTTAGGGAAAGAAGGGAATGAGATACAACTCCAGGAATATGATCTATGCATTTTTTTTTTTTAAAATTTTATCTCAAGCACATGATGAGGGACAAAAGTCCTGTCAGAAGAATGTTATGTGATCACAGCTGAAGTTTCCATAGTTTGCACAATGCTCAAACAGTATTATTTTATGAGCCCAAACCACATGACTAGAATTGCTTTGTGTGTTTTCCAGAAAACATGATCATGATATAGTGAACCGGAAAGAAAGAACAATGCATGTTTGAGGACATTTAAGGAAGCTTTTAATAGTACCATTCAAATTAGTGCTGATCTCTCTGAAAACACGAGGCATCTCGCTATCATCCAGTGGATGTACATCAGAGGTCGATGATGGGGTGAAGTAGTCTGTTTGCCTCCAATATTCTTCATTGACACTGCTGCATACAGATGCAGGACTCGGTGGAACTTCAGTGGGATTTTCCTAGAACAAAATAATATCCATAGTTAGATGTGATGACAAATCAGCATCATTCAGATATTTAGTTTCAACTCTTAGGGGAGTGTAGAAATGAGAATGATCATTTAGGCTCCTTACATGTCTTTCATAAAAATTCGGTGTACCAGTTGGTGGACTTGGAAAATCTTTCATGAGATTGTATGTTTGTCCATGTGGTTCCTCCCAAGAATGAACTTTTCTACCAAAGAGTCTGCCCTTAAGTATAAAACTATAACTAAAGCTGGAAACCTTTCGCCTAAGGTTGAATTTCTCCTTTTGACGTTTTTTGACATTCCCTGTGGCCTTCTCAATAGTTTCATGTTTTCTTCTAATATGGGCCCCTGTCAACATATGTCGATCCTCTAGAAGAAGCTTTCCAAATGATGTCCCCGACACAGGAGCTGACAAGGATCTAATTAGGTTCCTAGGAGATAGGTCCTCCTCAAGCATTACATCGTTGCCAGGATCCCGTCTGAAAGATCTGCTGTGCATGTCTATTTCATCTTTCAGATTGTCAGAGTTGGTGGCTTTATCTCCCGTATTACAAGTGTATCTGATTTCTTCAGCACTGCATTTTTCTTTATTCAGAACCGTTGATATGGAGCTTCCGCGAGCAAGCCTGTGAGTACCGTGAGATGTTTCTTGCTTGAGGACATTCCTCAACCGTTCTGTCAAAAATCTCCTTGTATCTCTATTGACGAATTCAGGAGAACTCGTCCCATCAAATTGAATATCACTTCTATAGGACCTTGTCGACTCTGATCGAGGTAATGTTATTTCAAAGTCCCTAGTAACACTCTCCCTTGCATGTTTTGCAATAGATTTAGCTATTTGCTTTGCATCTGGTGACATTTCGCTGTAAGGGGTCTCAATTCCTCCTCCTCTAACAGTAGTGATCCTTTTGGAACTCTTTCCTTGTAATTCACAGTTCAGTCTTTCCTTGACCTCCTCAAGAAATTCTTCTATACTACCCCTGTCTTCAGAAATGCCTGGAGAACTGGCCCACGACTCTTCATTAGTTCCCATCCTGTCAGGACAAGGCCTCAGAATTACAATCTTTGTAGGACCTGAAGAAACATCAAGTCCCTGGTAAGAACTTGTAAGAGGACGCTGCTGATCGGGGTTCGGAGTAACTTCCCTTACACAGTTGGTCTTATTTTGTGCAGGTGCAGGAAATTCATTTATATTTTTCTGATGCTCCAAAAGGCCTCTTTTCTGAGGATTCACTGTTACTGGCCCTCTAAGCTCTATAGGTTTCTCAATAGCTGCGGTTCTCATTGAATTTGCATAAATAGTCAACTTTTCCTTGTTCAGGCTTTGTTGTGCTAGCCATTGACTTGGACTGGTGCCAAGTTCAACAAACTTTGAACATTCCTTGAACCTTGCTGCTTGCCATGCTTCAAAATCTTTCTTAAACTTTTGTAGTTCCTCCTCCTGAGGATGTTCTCGAGGTTTATATTTGTTCAGTTTTTGGCTGTCACTCTGTCGGTCAAAATCACATGCTTCATCATGGTTAGAGGAATTTGAAATTTTCTGTCTGGAGGACTGTGTTGCATGATTGACGGAGACCTTTCTCAACCATTCCTCTTTGGGACGGTTGTCTTTTATCATTTCATTCTTTTTCTCGACCTGCTTTGCCGATGATCTTCTTGTATCTAATGGTAATGCATCCACTCCCATTAGACGGGCCACCACACTAGGGGCACTATGTCCTGTGTTTGGTCTTCTAGCTATTTCTTCTCTGATCAGTTTCTTCATTGGAGCCTCGTTCCCATAACTGTTCTTTTCTGGCCAGTCAATCCTGTGATAAGTGCACTGCACTCAAATATGTGGATGAAAATGAGAAGGAATCATCTCAAAACTCCCAGAAAATTCAGAAGCCTGATCTAATTCTTGCAACATATAAAAATAATTGATTTAAGTGTAGAAAAAAGAAACAAAAACCACACATGAAGGATTTGAGATGCAAGAATCTAGAAAACAACTAACTTGTAAAGATTAGAAAAGCGCAGTGTTAAAAAGTTAACACATGATGTTCACAGAGAAGAACTAAAGAATTGAACTTCTAAGTGCTGAACTCCTAAATTCTCAAATGTAATAGCAGCCATTGAGTTCTTTGTCATTCTGAACTTGCAAAATCATATGAGGCTGGAGAATCTAGGACCATAGTAAAAGTTCTTTGTCATTCTGAATTTGCATACTCTATAGGACCATAGTTACATGAGGCTGGAGAATCCTAGCACACGGGTTATTGCTGTTTAATCATATGCAAATATGTCCTCATCTTTTCTTTCAAGGCTCGATATGCTAAGAGTATTCCCACATCAATTAAGAGGATTCAAACATGACATAATAAAACTTTTACCTGTCCGTTGTCCCCTCCAGCACAGAACCTCTGAGAAGCTTCAACTGGAAACTCCATGCTATTTCTAGGAGCATCCAAGCCTGCACAATAGATGAATGCATCATCATATTTCCAGTTGGTTTTTTAGAAGAAGAGATTAAAGAGCCACAACGCACTATCACCATTGTCTCACTTTATTATCAAGTGCTTATGTATATATGGATATTGCAACAAGTTCTTCATATTGCAATGGTTGCAAGAGTAGTAGCAGAAACCATTGCGCTTCAGGATTTGAACTTAAGGGAGAAAGGGTGATTACAAGAAGAGTGTGGTAAAATAGTTTGATCATCACCTTTTTCTCAAATTAGTCAATATTCTGATAAACTTAAATGCTCCAAAATCAGGATCTGCCAATTCATCTAACAGTCTAAAAGGACCACTAATTCGAGCAAATAACTTTGTAGCAAGATAACACCGTGCAATCATTACCAGCTTCCACAATATCATGCTCGTGATGCAACTTCAGAGAATGAAAAGCACTTACCGCCATGTCTTTTGTTTGAAAGAAATTTTCTTGCCATCGCTCCTTGATCAAAATCAATGAGGTTCAATAAGCTTCCCATACAGCAGGATTCCAAAAAGTACAATAACCTTATAGGGGCAGCTCCATGTTACCCCGTGAAACTAAGAACTTACTATATAACATTCAGTGAAATGAGATCCTTAAACCTAGTCCACACCCTGCAGACACAATAAGATCAAATGATGATTTTACCTGACAAACAACATTGTCCAAGGAAAAAGGAATGAACAGAAATTCACTTAATTAACAATGCTTATTGAGAGATAACTAACTGAAATCATATTCATAAAAACTGAGCCTTTTTTGTTATATTCTAATATGCATTGGACATCTTAAACATGTGAAAGGAGCAAATAAATCCAATTCATACCACAGATACTTATATTCTTGAGAGCCCCCTATCAGATTTCCATCAAGTTCATCACAATGGTAAAAGAATTACTAATTTAGGTACTAACTGGGAAAAAATAATCAATAAACTGTAATACAAAAGGCTATGCTTAAAAGTATTATGCTTACTGACATATGGAAATATGAGACTCCTGATATGATTCAACAAAGATTAATTATTTTTTGGATTGGTCATCACTTTCTAAACTGATCAAGTAAACATTAGACATCGAACTTTAGCAGATAAATCTCATATATAGAAGAAAGAAAAAAGGATTATGAGATAACACAGTAGATGCATAGAACAAACAGTTTAAAGAAACTGAAAAAAACAGAGAAGCAAAGCAGAGAGAATCCAGTTAATTATTCATTCTAGTGAACAACTCATGACTGGATTTCCCGACAGCAAAAATAAGACACACATCTTCATTGATAGATCAATTTCAACATAAATTCAGTAATCCAGTGTTATAAAAATCATAGCTTTGCATAAAATTCACACACGGAACAGGAGGGTACGAGTCAAATCAAGATTTTAACTTTCCTCGTGATCAACGATCCAAGAACAAACAAGAAAAGAATGAGAGAGAAAAAAGGAAAACAAACAAACCATCATGTCAACTTTACAGACAGAAATATACTGACAGAGAAAACGGCAAAAAAGAATCTGACCCAGAATGCACTAGAAAAAAGTTTCATCAAAACCCTCGAGATGTTGATCAACAGTAATTTTCATCAACAATTGTCAACAGTATTCAGCAAAATTGTCAACTCACCGTTGAAAAACTAGACGGAACCCAAAATGCTCAAATGTCAACAAGTGAAAACGTAGAAAATTAAGGGGAAAAGAAGGCTAAGGAATTGGAGGGAGAAAAGAAAGAAGAAAGTGTATTTGACTGACAGAAGGGAATTGCAGGGAAAGGTGAATGTAAGAGCTGGAGTTGACGTGTAATCTTGATGAAGAAGAAGAATGAAGCAGAAGAGAAGACTAGCGAATAGGAGGGATAAAAATAATACAAGGACAATATAATAATAATAATAATGAAATGAAAAAGTAGTTACTACTATTCTACTTTTTAGCATGAGAGTCCATCTCTGGAATAACACCTTCCAAAAAGCTAACTCCTTTGTTCCCTCCTCCTCTTTCGTATCAGTTTATTAATAATGTAATTCTATTTATTTTATTTAATAATATTAACTGATTATATAGAATAAATAATAAGTAATATGTTATAATAGGTTAAGTTACATTGATACTATAAAAATTTATTTCACTGCATGCACTATATATAACTTAAATATTTTTCTACATTACTCAAACCATTCTCAATTTTCTGATAATATGATACTCTTTTATTTTGAAAAGTTCACCAATATCTAACATAAGTCTATTAATAACTATGTACTCTTTTTGTTCAAATTCTTGGTATGCACTCATCGAATAGGAATTCGTTTTCTAAAATATCGTGTGAGGTTTTTGTTTGAAAATTTGATATTGATTATTTGCATTAATATTATTGCACAATTATTACTATAATATATAATGAACAACTCAAAATAATATCTAAAATCCGAGAAAATCATTGGTGTAATAAAATGGAACAGAGAGAATATTCAAATACTAAAGCAGCTTTGGACATGTGAAAAAAGTTAGAAAAAAATAAATAAAAGAGATACCAAAACCATGAGTAACACCTAATATAAGTGTGACGTACAGTATGCGCAACATTTCTTTCACTACAATGTTTTCTCTCATATATGATAAGTAGGGAAAACTAAATAAATCTTCGTTAAAGTCGAATTATAGCCAACTAAATTCATAAAAGATATGTATTTTAATTTTTTGTCATGAGACATGTTTTTTTTCATATTTTAGTCATTTTTATAATGGGATTAGGTGTAGTTGATGGATCCCTCATAAATATGCCTGACAGAATGATTCTGATAGATGTTAAACTAGTTTAATATTGATGCTTAAGACGGCAATCAATTTTTAAAGAAATACCTCTTTTAGTGCCCATGTGATAAGCTGTAATTTTCTTCATTAATTCATTTGCAATCAGAGGACCTTTTTTTTTTTTTCCTTCTTAGTTTGTTGAGCACCAATACAAGAGAAATATCATTTTTTAGAGCGAAAGCATAAGTTTTTATTTTCTTATTTTCCACCTGATATCCAGTATTTGTATTAGGCTACGGCTAATTATGATTCGTGCCGCATAAATAATATGTAAATCATAATTTTTATTGAGTAGTATAAAATTCAAACCACACAAAATCAAAATTTAAACATAAAACCTAATAATAGTAATAATTCCTGGATACACCAACTAGTTACTAGTAACCACTTGAAGCAACCCTCATGCTCTAATGTGACATTTGGATTTAATTTTCGTTTAATTTCTAAAAATGTTTTAAAAAATAATCTTAAAACAAAATTTTGTGTCTGAAAGTTGTTTTTGTTTTTACCAAAAGGAAAATTTAATTTATTTTGTAAGTTTAAGTAGGGGAGTCTGGTGGTTATAACTTGTCAAATGAACCAATTATTCCTAACTGCGTGAAGCAACAACATGCAATTGTGTGCATAAAAACTCAAAGATGCTCTTCTCTCTCTCTCTCTTTTGGTTGGAGTAATTTGCCAACAAGAGTTGATTTAAATAGACATTAGAATGCTAAATTGCGTATATTGCAATTAGTGTCTTAAAAAGTCCAGGCCTTAAATCAACCCAAGTTGTTTAACTTCATTAGGAACAAGTAAAAGATATTAGATGGTTCAATAACATGATTACTTATTACAATATGTTAATATACAGGGGAGGATTTAGGGGCGGAAGAGGGTTCACCCGTATCCCCTTCGCCGAAAAATTATACTGTATATATAATGCAAAATCTGATTTTTACTTTGAATCCTCTTAACACAATCCAAAAGTTTAGCTTAGTGGTCAATGGCGAGAAATTCAAAAATAGCCAGATTTACAAGTGGTAATTCAAAAATAGCCACAATTTCAAAAGTAATCGAAATTTAGCCACTTTTCATGTAAAGATAAATCTGAATGAAAACACTGTTCAATCTGGAAAAATACTCCAGCATAATATACTGGAGTTTCAGTATAATATACTGGAACTCCAGTCTAATATGCTGGAGTTCCAGTATAATATACCGGTCCAGCATAATATACTGGAGTTTGGAGCACTGATGCTCTAATCTCCAGTATATTATACTGGAGCCAGCAAAGTATACCGGTCCAGCATAATATCCTGGAAGTTCATACACAGGTGCACCGAACTCTAGTATATTATGCTGGACCGGTCTCTGTTGCAGCAAAATAGTGTCTATTTTTCATTGACTTGGTAAACGCTGGCTATTTTTGAATGACCTGTCCGAAAACTGGCTAGACCGTACTATTTTAACTGCTCAATGGGGTTCAAAACCTTTGTTAGATCATAGGTTCAATTTCTACTATCTACAATCTTAATTTTTTTCTTTTTGAACTCCCTTCGCGAAGATCTTGCCTCTGCCACTGTTAATATACACTTACAATTTAAAATTTCTTTATATCGCCAATATATAATAATAGTATAAGTTAATATTTAGAAATCAAAAAGAAAAAGAGTAAGTGAAAAAGACAGTCTAGATGATGGAGGATAAGGAGAGAAAAGAGACTAACAAGGGTTGTGGTGCACAGGGACGGATCCAGAGTGTGAATAACGGATTTATTGGAACTTAATAGCTTTTACTCATATTTTGTATATACATTAAAAAAAATTATCTAATATTTATAAATATTATAATATGAACCCATAAACTATTGTATATTAATTTGAGATCGTTATAGGAGCCCATAAACTTTAAATCCTAGAAACGCTTCTGATGGTGGAGTGATAAGTGTTTCTTCATCCTTAATCAGAAATCTCGGGTTCGAGCTATGAGTATGAATTCGTCTTTATTAGAGAGCATTTTACCCCTTAATATGAATTTTTCCGGCATAAATCTAAATTTAATCGGAGTCTAAGGTAAGTACCGGAAAAAGGAGACAAGAGCAAAAGACGGTAGCTTCGTTGTCCGTGTTTGTTACAAAGTCATTTAACATAAATATTCTTACATTCTATCCCAAACTGTCCTTATAACGGAATTGCTTTAAGTCGTAATACTTTATTCTATCTTTTTATAGCATCCAATATTTTAATGCGAGAGAACCCCTCAAACAAACATAAACAGCTCACAATTCGCAGATACTTTTGTGCACGACGCCCTCCATTTGGCGCCCACCCCGCCTCAACTGTCTACCCTATCTCTCTTGACTCTACTATATCTTATATTCTCCTCTCTTTACTTAAGGAAATGATTCTAGTTTTCTCTGGCTTTATTTAAATTAATTTAGAGATAGTTCCAAGACTACTTCCACCCAAATCCCTTTGAAGTAATTAAGTGTAGTTTATAATGTTGGAGGTCGTTCGATTTTCGGACTGTTTATTATTATTATTATTATTATTATTATTATTATTATTATTATTATTGTTACGATAATAACATATAGATTATATCAGACTTCTGGTAATGCCAAAAATCGTTTTAATAAAGATTTTATCTTGTTTCTATTATATTTTTTTTATAATACAAGAAATATTGTTATCCAAGGTTGCAGTGCTAATGCCAAGAATTTTGTAAAAGTCATCAATTCTCTCTCGAACCTAAATGCTTCATAAAAGAATTTAAGACTACAAATCAAGGCTATGATGTAAATAAAGAGATGAAGTAGCGAAACAAATAATTAATGAATAATCAATTGCGGAATGATGAGAACAAAGGGAAATTAATAAACAAAACGTAATTTAATTAGCTGGCCTCTTAGCCACGAATTAGTTTGACTAAACTCCCCCACCATGGTCAATTAGCCGAACGTGGATTCATCATGACAAACATATGATCATTGTTAATTACAAAAGCATAATGCAGAAATTGATTGATTTTTATTTATATAAATATATCAGTATGGATTTATCAAAATAACATCTTTAACCTAACCTCATGCATCTCCCCAGTTTAGTTTACCCTAAAACAAGCACAAATTATTGTACTTGCAATTCCTTTTCCCCACCACAAGATATTTCGTCCACTATAATGGACTTTTCTTATTCCCTTAATATAATATAGTAGTTGCTACATGTCAACATAAAGTCGTTTTCACCTTGGATATTTTTTAGGTTGATAATGTGTATATATACATTTATAATGTGATGCCATTGACGGAGGTGGGCTAAGTTCTGGCCTAGCAAGTTTCTGAAGAAGGAATGCACATGTCACTTTACATCGGAATGAGAAAGGACGAAGAGCTTTATATGACACAAGTTCACATGGTATGCGCGCTTTGGGTTCGATCGATGTGATGTAACCCGAAAGACAACTATATGCGTTCCTAGGCCCAAAGCGGACAATACATGAGAAAACTCAAATAAAATTATAATTATGTATGCCGTTTGCGACCGAAGTAGTGGGAAGGTTAATATACAATTAAAATTTAATTTAAATTATTTGCGACCGTGTCAGTCGAAAAATTAACCACATTTA